ACAGACAGTCCAGGTCCACGGGCCTATAGAGATCCCAGAAAATGAAGATGTTACTTTTTGTTTTCCTGTTCATTATAAAAAGGGTGGAAAGGTTCCTCTGAAGTTCAGTTACGTTGTTTTAATGATATGAATGATTTGGTGGGGCAGACAATCAGAAGTGGAAACTGAATTCAATAATGTTACTGAGTCCTACTCTGGGCAAGTAGATTAGAGACCACACATGCAGGCTTGAAAACATTTAAATTTCAAAATCTTGTTATGTAAGGGGACACAAAACAATGTAAAAGATGTGAGGCCACACTCCCAGCTGGCATAGATCAGTGCAGCACCATGGATTTCAGGGTAGCAACACCAATTTCTGCTGTTTGAGGTCCTGGCCTTTAATCTGTCATCAATCTAATAAAATCGAGCTGCTCTAATTACCACCATGTCAGTCAGAAATATGTTTGCCTGAAATGATGAAGCTGAGCTGGATCCTGGAGCCCACACAAGTCAGCAAGCACTGTGCAAATCTGAGTTAAACCATTTGTTTGCCCACTTAAGGAGAGGTTGTCCACGGTCATGGTATGTGTGGAAAGACAGCGGGGGAGTGAGAGGAACAACTGAAACATATGGCCCAAGTGAGCTTTCTCTTTATTCCAAAGCACCAGGATAAGACAAGCTGTTGAACCGATGAGAAACCTTCCTCATACACCATATTTCAAGATTAAAACTGGGAGAAATTCAGCACCAGTGATCTCACATCCATGCTTGACTAAAGGTATAGAAAACCATTAAACTGAAAGCAGAGGAAAAAAAAAAGCCCCCAGGCCCAACCTCCCCTAATCCATAATAGCTGCATCATTATGTAAAAGAAAACAGCAATTTCCCCACCAATGTGCCCATAAATGGAAACCTTATCAATACCTCCACATGCTCCCTGGCTTTATGGCACTATTAAGTTTAATTGCACTGATATAATGGATTTTTATGGAACAATGTCTTTTCAGAATCAGGTTTGGGGAGCGTGCAGGCACAGGAGAGGGGTCACACACATTGAGACATGCTCTTTACTGCACCTGAACTTAATTTTGACCTCGTGTTTCTTGAAGAAAAATGTGGAAGTGGCATTTCTGTAGTGTCTATGACCTCCAGAAAGGTCAAGATTGAGAACTTTATTGCAGTTGCACTTGCTGCAACTTGACACTCTTGTAGTGGGAGTTAATTTAGTTTTTAGTGAAGAACATTGGATTGCTATTTAACATGAACATAGGAGTTATAATTTTGAGCTATAATCCTTAGGCTGCTTCTCCTCAAGTCAATGGAAAGAGAACTTTTACCTTTAGTTTCAGGATGAGCAGAGACCAACTTCCACTGGGTCTGAAAATCCCAATTTGTGGTGAATCCAGGGAGAATCTTGGTGTCTGTTCTTGAAGTCTTCTGTCAGCAAAGCCTTTCCCACCCCCCCAAACCTAATGTCTGCAGGTTTTATCAGCTGTCTTAGCAGGACAAATTCATCTTGTCCATTCCCCTCATGAATTCAAAACATCTGCTTTATTTTATAAAACGTAGCCACTCACCAGTATTGATGTACCAGTAAGATATGACAGCATAAATACAGAAAAAATAGCAACATTATTCTCTTCTTGCCTCTCCCCCAGAAAACTCAGACACCTACAGGGTTTTCTGACTTCCAAACCAAGATAGTGCCTCAGAGCCAGGAATGAAAAATACACAGATTTTGTCATCTTATCATCTTTTTTTAGCTACATGTGTAAATAAAGATACCAGTATGACAACCAGTGACTAAGTGCAGCTCACTGTGAGTAACACCAAGAGGCTGTGCCCCAGCTTTGCCTTGGCAGGACCTTCTGAAATGTCCTCAATGAAGGATGCAAAAGCCAGAAAAATTGTCATTGTTACGTGGTTGATATCCCATGCAAGGGAACGATAGTAGTGACTGGCTTTGGAAGACAGGTAGGGATTTAAGAGCACATCTTCCAGTGCTCCAAAGCTGCAGATGTTTTGCAAGATACATGGACAGGGTGTTCCCTCCTTGAAATCTTCTTTGGTTTAAGGTGGTTGGAAATGTTGCTAAACATGAGCTGACATGACAATATCAAAGGAATTGCCCTTCATGTAATATAAAATAAAAGTGAATCTTTTCTGTATTGAGGGGTGGGTTTTTTTCATGTTACTCTTGGAGGGCTTTCACCTGAGACAGCTTTTTCTCTGCATCATATATGTCATATTTATGGTATATAACTTAAATATTTTTTGGAAATTGATGGAGTGCTAGCATTGGCTAACAACTCTCAACAATTCCAGAGCTATCAGCTGCTGACTCCTTCCTGGAGTTGTGTTCCTCCATCAGATACTCTGCTGAGTGTTTTTATTTTTTTTTTTAATGTTGTCTCTCTGAAGTGCTGTCAGAAATCTAGTCCAATATCAGTCCTGGTTGAGTCTATGTGGATAAATATATTGTATTATTTGTTTTTCCATTATTTTGAAAGATTCTTGAAAGTGTTTCTGCTCTCTGCTTTTCTTTCTCTGGGTGAAGTATTTCCTTTTATTACCATAAGAAAATCTTTACCTCTTCTCCATTACTGTGTCATTTAGTCATCATAGGCAGATGAGTTTATCTTCTAAAAAGTGCCTTTAAGATGTTAAAGTGGTAGCATTACAATTTAAAATCCTTCTGACACTGCCTGTTCCACTGGAGTACTAAATCTTGTCTTCAGTGTGAATGGAAATCAAATAAAGCTTTCACTTGCTTGACAATTGTTGCAAAATAGAAGAAAATGTTCAGGCTTTCATATAGTAATGACTGTGTCATCTCAGTGCAGTTCAAAGAGCAAACCCTTTTATGCACATAGACAACGTTTACTTTTGAGATCCATTGCTACTTCCTAGACTTTTGTGGCAAAAAAATTAACAAGGAATTTTGTAGTTACCATGCCATTTACCCCAGTGTCACTTAAATGATCTTGCTCATTCACATCTTGAAAAAGAAAACTACGTTGTCAAAAAATCCCAAAATGTTGGGAACTGATAGACCAGAAACAAGCTGAGAAGCATGGAAAGGTTTGGAGTTTTTTGTCTTCTGTGCATGATGGTATAGCTGACATCTGCATAGTAGGAGGGAAGAAAGAAATGGTTTATCAGTAGTTTCATCTCCAAAGTACCAAAGAATGAAAAAAAAAGCAAAATGAAATCTGTACAGCAGAGGAAGCAAGAGCTTCACAAAAGCAAGATATCTCTCTCTTGCATCACAGACTTGAAAACAGAGGAAAATTTCATAGTTGAAATGCCATCATCAAGGTTGAAAGTGTCATGTGTACTTTTTGTTCAGGTAGACAAAAAGCTAATAAGTCTGCATGCTCATTACTTCTGTAATATGCACCGATGGAGGGGGATAATAAGACTTCTTTATTCCATGGTTTTTTCTCCTGTAGTTTCTGAAATCTGGGTTTCCACAGGGTGTTGTGTATGAGCACAGGTAATTGATGCTGCAAACAGCCCAGGCCGGGCTCTGTATGGTATGATTTGCCTTTTTAATTATCACTTCAATCATGGGTGCTCAGCATTTGTAATGGCAATTGATACAGTCATCAAGGCATAACGAGGAATCATTGAGTAGCGTGAAATCCATCACGTTTATTTAGCCTTTGTTGACCCTTGGAGAAAAAATCTGATTTTTAATGAATTATTGTATCCATGAGAGTTAAGGTAAAGCTGGATAAGAGAACATGAGTTGTGACATGAGATGCAATCTTGTGTCACCCTCTCTGCCAGGACAAAGCAAGCCCAGCCAGCCATGTAATGGGTATTTTATGGGATACGTGTGAACTGAAGGGAATTTATAGAAGTTTCCACCCTCTGTGTGCCATGGGAATAAATAGGGACTGCTGAGCCTGCTCAGATTTGGGGGCAAGCTAACAATTTGCAAACCCAAAGAAAGATCTCTCACCTTCTGCCTGGGCTTATCATCCTTGCAAGGCTGAGCTTCTGCTCTTGCTTTATCTGCACACATATTAATCATCTACGTCCCACTCCCACCAGCTCTGGGATCTGCCTGTACCTTTGAGCAGGACTTGTGGAAGCTGGCTGTCTTCTCTGCATGGAATCTGCTGAAGCTGCAGCTCAGTCCTGCAGGTTGGTTCTTCTGCTCCTTCCAATCCCACTTGTGTAAAATCCAGACCACACCATGGTTTCCAATGTGGTGTAGGGACCACTGACTTCTCAAGCTTCTGTTAGCAGATTCTGGGCTTCAGGTTCCAAAAAATGAAAATATCTCTTTGGGAATCAATACAGGAGTCCTAATGAATCCATATCTGTGTGTCCTTTCCTGGTTTTCCACTGCCTGAATCAATTAGCCATACGGTACCATGGTGTATTTGTTGTTGCTCATGTGGGGAAACCCGTGACCATTTATTTTTGAGACTTCAACAAGGATATTGTTTTCCTTCAAAGCCATTTCAGGATTTCTTCACAGAGAGAAAAATAAAATGAAAGGGTCAGTTCCTACAGCAGTTATTTTGTAGTAGCTCTGTTGGATAAAACTGATTACTTACATGGCCAGTGAACTTGCATTGCTTGTTTGACTTGGGTTGCATTGTATGAACCGAAACAAAAACCACATCCAGACTGCTTTGGAGTGGAAGAATTCTGCTATCAGTTCAATCTGTTTTCCTTGTTGTTGTTTCCATGTAATGAAAAGATAAATATGCAAACATATTTACTTCATTAATTTTAAACAGTGCCAGGAAAAAGGCGCTGTCTAGGGATTGTGGAAAAATATTGTGAAAATTAGCTCTACATATTTTGCTTTCAGTCAACTCTGTTAATTAGGATCAAAGTACTGCAATTTTTAAAAGTTCTCACTGTTCCTTCCCACACATTTTCATATTTCAAGAAGATGCAGTTAACTAAGTCTGAGACTGTCAGTAAAGCCCATGGGAATGAGGGTTCATGTACTAATAGCTGGGTACCAACATCCCTGAGGCCTTTGAAAATGTCAGAATTAGCTGTGGAGGGAGGTCAGATTGGGTTGCCTGTCCCTTGGGTGGCCTCTGAGATGGAAATGGGGCAACTGTTTTCCCACCCACCCTCACTGCAGGGTGTTTGTGTGTGGTTTCATCTTGCTCTGATGAGTGCTGTGAGAAAGCTGCTCTTACAGGTGTGAAACATCTCTTTTTGCCTTGAAATGAGCAGTTGGGCACTTGCAGGAGGTAGGAAAAAACTAGTAGTAAACTGGGTTGGTATAAGGTACTGGTAGATTGTGGTTTTCCAAATGAGCTCAATACCAAATAAAGTCCTTAAGGTAGTTGTCTGAAAAGGAAATTGGGACACAGAAAGGTGATGTCCAAACCCTCTGCAGGCCATGGACAGAGCTGCCACACCAGAGCCATCACAAACAGGAGGTGCTCATGCTGTGCTTTATGTGCCTTTCCTCTCAAGCATGAAGACATTTCAATTTTAAGCAGGCACATAGTTATAAAAGGATGTTGAGTCAGCTTGAAAATTTTGCTGAGATAAATAATTTACCTTTATTGGCACTGATAACACTTAAAATTCTAAATACTATTTTTCCCTGTGTTTCGATGGGGATTCATGACTGTAATTTATGTTGCTGTGTTGCTTTTTCTCAGTTCAGATGCAAGGCTTCTTAGTTTTGTGCTTTGATATATATTTTACTTCCCAGTTATTGTGCATTGAAAGATCACAGCATTTGCCTTTAAAACATTGTGTGAATTTCTCTGGGTTCACTGCTGGATCTCCAGCACTGGCCTGTTAAGAGTTTCATTTTTAAATGCAAATGGTATGTAACTGTTTATAAATCTGACAAACGCCTGTACAATGGGCATAGATCTGCCCTAATTTAATCACACTGGAGAAGTGGCAGGAGGTTTATTTTGCCCCCTCTGTAGAAGTGTCAGCTCTCTTCCCCCTGCTGAGAAGCCCTTGGCACTTTGCTGGTCCATTCTCAGTGAGAGAAACCTTGCCTTGCAATTCCCAAGGGCTGGGTGAGTGATGGCACACATCAAACACATGTTTCCCCAGCCCAGTGACTGACAACAGCATATCAGAATGGGTCATGGGTGAAGGATTGTTGCTGCTTAGCTGTAGGTGCCT